AGTGAGATTATTAGCTGTAGAATTAACTTGTAATACTTGAATTGATGAAGGCCAACCACTAGGAACTGAAAATAACAATTAATTGATTTAGTGAACTAAATAATAAATTATGTTAGTTATTACTTATTGCTTCAGTTTGTACAGTCATGTTTAATTCAGACCCTCCTAGTACATTACCAGCTCTCACTGTGATGGTATAGTTCATACCACTGTACAGACCTATTAATGTATAACTGTATGTTGTAGTGGACTGATGAGGAACAACAGAGACTGTCTCATTCACTGATGATAACTCCGGACAAGATGGAGTATAGGAGATGGTGTAGTATGTTACATAGTTGTCACTACTGGGAATAGTCCAGTTCACTCTAATACCAGTGGTTGAGACATTAGATACTGAGAGACTAGTTACTGGACTAGGAACTACAACACATATCAATTACACTCTCTCAATCATAATAACTCACCATCAAATCTTAACACTGTTACTGTACTATTAACTGAAGGAAGATCTATATATGAGTACACACTGATGGTATAGGTACTCATTGGTGAGAGATCTGTTAGTACAATTTCCTCTTCACTGGTAGATACTACATTCCTGGTTACACCTCCAGTAGCATACTCAATCACATATCCATTAGTTATTGATGAAGTGGTCCAGTTCACTTTGATACTAGTAGCATTTAATATAAACCCTCTCACATTATTTGGAGGACCACTAGGAGCTAGAAAAGAGACAAAGGTATCTACTATTGATTAAAGTATAATCATACCATGTAATACCACAGATTGACTGTAGTTGACTCCTCCAATCTTTGCTATACAGGTAACATTAACTGACACTCCCAGTGGATCAGGATATACCAGTAGTGTGTTGTTGTATGTCCGGACATCAATTGATGTATACATTGAGTTACTCTTCATTACTCCATTCACTAACCAGTAAACATCAGTTGAAGGATTTATATCAGTAGTTGTGAGACAATCAATACGATATTGAGTGTTATTGAGTTGTGTAATGGATGAGACTAGTGTCCAATTGATAACTAGAAATACATCAACAATGTTACAAGTACATTAGAAGGTGTAGTAGCAATACCTGGTAAGGTCTGTACACTGATTGTACTAGCAGGTCCCAGTAATTGTTGATAGGCTCTGACTGTGATGCTATAAGTTGTTCCTCCTCTCAGTCCATTCAGTGTGACTGTATTATTACTACTTCCCTCCACCTGTACTGTCTGCACAGTGTCTGTGTCACTAGTGACATTGACTACATATCCATCAGCATCAGATGAATCAAGTGCAGTCCAACTGACAGTGATAGTGGTAGCTATCTGGTTGACCTCAGTAAGAGAAGAGGGAGCAGTTGCTGGTACTAAAACATAATACTAAAACATGAATCATCAATAGACATTACCTTTTATGGTTAAAGTACGTGTTCTATTAGCACCACTAATATTGTCCAGTACACACTGATACATTTGATCTCCAGTGGTTGATTGACTGATTGATCCACTACTGACAGTCATTCCATCCCATGTGATATCAACAGTATATCTTAATGTGTTGCTACTACTAACTAACACAGTACCATGACAAGGACTATGATCAACTCCATCTTCACAATTAGTGTAACTAGCCAATGCAGTACTACCAATGCTCATACTAATATCATAGCGATTGTGCCCAATTTTAGTACAATTCAATTTGTATTCCTGAGGATATACTGTCATATCAGAAGGAAGATCAGCAACAGTAAATGATTCTATCTCTGAATATCCTACAAATGTAAATTATTGCATCAGTAAGTGATTATAGTCTCCTCTTACTGAATATAGTAGCAAAGATGATGTTAGTGTTAGGATCTGTACAATTAGTGGGTAGACAACACTTGTACCAGCCTTCTTGAGCTTGAGATAGTCCCCCTTCAAGATAAAGATTGATAGTAGCATTAGGTGAAGTGACAAGAGTACAACGAAAAGGATCATTGTTAGTATTGTCACAGTCAACAGGATCATCAGGATCACCAGCTCTAGTCCACTGACCAGTAGTTAGACTAGTATCAGGTAACACACATGATATAGCTTCATTAGCTTCATTGACAGTATTATCCCAAAAATATGATCCATTAGTATAACAGTTTCCACCATGCTTCAGGTAGATACCTATAAAAACCTATACAGTTGTTATTATACACATCCAGTGTCTTACCTGAGGAAGGTGGACATTCACTAATAACTTCACTGACACTCAACAAGAAGACAAGAGTCAACAGGAGTAGCATTTCAAATTACTTGATAGCCTAGGCTATACCACTGCTATACCTAACCTAAATAGTCTTGCAATACTTTTATTTAACTGTGCCACATAGAGTATGATACAAATTGAAAAATATTCAATTAGCACGAAGTCAACAAAGCAAAAATTATAAATCTCATAGTGTTTTTGTTGTGCTATAGCTGAGTTATGTGCTATGACTTTGTAACATAACAAAACAATGAAAGTTGATAATTTACAAGCACAATAGAAGAATGCAAACTTTACACAATAGTAACACAAACTATTTCCATTGTTTACATGAACTGAAAAAAGTAACAACTCATAAATATTGATAACAATTCCAATGTACATTAATAACATGAAACTAAAATAGAAACAAGAGCTAATTAAGCAGATAAACACTCAACGTTACTTATGTTTCTTCATTGTAAAAATATTAACTACAGTTAAAATACAAAACTGCTAATAAAAATTGGAAACATATTAATTAGTACAAACAATTATACCAATAAATTATACCACACATACAAAACTGACTATTATTTCTACACACAATGCTATTTTTAAACTGAAAAGTTCCCATACATGCTGTTCATCTGAAGGTACATGTCAATCACATCATATATGGAAGTATACTGCTCCTGTAAACAGATAATATCATTAATACACTAGTACCCACTCATATATCTAGTATATACCAGTGTAGTCACAGCTCCTGGTTTACTCCTTCTCACAGCTTTAGTCACTTGAAACACATCCACTACACCTTCTGCCTTACACTGTTCTAGACCAATACTCACTGAACAATACACTCCTGAACGACTCACTGTATCACTACACACACACACAATAATCAATTACTCATCATTAGTCTATCAGTATAACTCTCTCTCTTACCTACAGTGTACCACTACTGGTCCTCCTCCAATCTTTTGTTGTCTGTGTATAACATCATCAATAACTTGTAGGACAGTACGTGGTTCCCTAACAACTCCATCTTGAGGCCAATCTGTCACTTGTAATTGTATCACATCCCA